CTTTTTAAATCACAGTCCAGTCTTTCTGTGATCAGTGTTTGTTGTTGTTTTCACCACATGTTGATTTACAGCAGAACCTGCACCTGTGTGTGTGTGTGTGTGCGTTCCTGTTAACCAGTAACACAGTGGACGAGGACGACGACCTGTACGACTTTGTGGATGATGAAGATAATGAAGGGGATGAGATCTACGAGGACTTGATGAGGACGGAGGAGCCGCCGGAAAAAGTGAGTTCATCCTGGAACGGAGCAGGAACAACAACCTGCACAGAGTCAGAGTCACTCCACGCTCTCTCTCTCTCTCTCTCTCTGTGTGTGTGTGTGTGTGTGTTTCAGCAGAAGACAGGTGTGGACAAACGGGAATGCTGCCTACAGGAAATCCGACAGACGGAGGAGAAATACACAGACACATTGAATTCTATATTACAAGTGGGTTCACGTGAAATTCACACTGCTGACTACAGGGGGCGCTCTCACAGACAGTAATGACCCACTTTATCTTTTCTACCGACTCAGCACTTCATGAAACCACTGGAGAGATTCCTCCAGGATCAAGACATCGAATCCATCTTCATCAACTTACAGGTAAAAAGACGACGACTTCCTCCACCTCCACGGCTCCACTGCACTGAGTCAACGCGTGTGTGTGTGTGTGTGTAGGATTTAGCCGTGATTCATCATCAGTTCTTAGAAGAGGTTCAAACCTCCATCCTACAGTTTGGAGCCACTGACCTGTACCAGGTGTTCATCAGCTACAAAGAGAGGTAAAACCGTACCATGGGTCCACCATCAAACTGTGACCAAGAAACGTTGACATCTTTTGGTTTTGGGTTTTCTCCTCAGGCTCCTGCACTACGGCCGCTACTGCAGTCAGGTGGAGACGGCAACCAAACACCTGGACAAGCTGTCTACAACCAGGGAGGACATCAGGATGAAGCTGGAGGTGAGGACACCCTGACCTCAGAGCTGAAGAGGTCAAAGGTCAGCCTGGCTGTACCTGTCTGTGTAGTAGTCACCGCAGTCGTCATCAAATGGTGGCCCGTGGCCCGAATCCAGCCCGTCAAACCGTCCTATCCGGTCCCCAATAGGATTCAAACATTTGAATAACCGTCAGTGACCCCTGGACCCACTGAGCCCCCGTCACTGGTCAGCTGTAGACCGCTCTTTTATGTAGAGAAGAAGACAAGCGTGCTGGTCAGATGGGTTCATGGTCTTCTTTCTTTTCCTGCCACAGGAGTGTTCAAAGAGGGCCAACAGCGGGCGCTTCTCTCTGCGGGACCTCCTGATGGTGCCCATGCAGAGGGTCCTCAAATACCCACTGTTGTTACAGGTGTGTCTCTGTGTCCCTTTGTCCCGCTGCTCTGTACGGGTCACTTCAGTGTGTGTGTGTGTGTGTGTGTGTGTAGGAGCTGGTCAAACACACCAACGACCCCACGGACAAAGACAACCTACGTCTGGCTCTGGACGCCATGAGGGTAAGGCTGCCAGTACTGTACGTACTACTGCAGTATAAGCTGTGCAGTACTCTCCTGTGTTGGTCTTCCAGGACTTGGCTCAGTGTGTGAACGAAGTCAAGCGTGACAACGAGATCATCCGACAGATCACGGCCTTCCAGATGTCTATAGAGAACATGGTGAGGTCACTGGTCTCCCCTGGTCCTCGTGACCTCTTGGACTCACTCCGACCCTCACTGGTTTCCCCTCTGCTCCGTAGACCCAGTCCTTGGCTCTGTACGGCCGGCCCAAGATCGACGGAGAGCTGAAGATCTGCAGCTCAGAGAAGAAGTCCAAACAGGACAGGTGTGTGTGTGTGTGTGTGTGTGTGTGTGTGTGTGTGTGGTCGACCTCAGTCCTGACGCCTGTCCGTCTGTGTGTGCTCTGCCTTGGACAGGTACGTGTTCCTGTTTGACAAAGCCATGTTTGTGTGTAAGAAGAAGAGCGGGGAGTCGTTTGAGCTGAAGGAGACGATCGAGCTGCAGCACTACCATCTACGAGACGAGATCAGGGGGGACAAGGACAAGAAGAAGGTTACTGAGCCAGACAGGACGCAACAGGACGGACGCCACAGCTGAACAGGAAGTCACTCAGTCTGTCTGTGTGTGTGTGTGTGTGTGTGTGTGTGTGTGTGTGCAGTGGTCTCACGCCTTTCTTCTTCTGGACTGCTACGGACGGGGGTGCTACGATTTATACTTCAAAACCAGAGAAGTGAAGAAGAAGTGGCTGGAACAGTTTGAGATGGCTCTGTGAGTGACACACACACACACACACACACACACCTGTCCTGTTTGATTCCCTGCGGCTGATTCTGTTTGGTGTGATCTGATTGGCTGTAGATCCAACACAAGTCCAGAAGACGCCACGGCCAACAACCACGACTTCCAGATGAACTGCTTTGAGGAGACCACGTCCTGTAAAGCCTGCTCCATGCTGCTGAGGTGAGTAGATGAGCAGACGTTAAGACCAGCCCCAGGTTTGTCTCCGCTCACACTCTGTCTCCACGTCCCGTCTGCAGAGGAACCTTTTTCCAGGGTTATCGTTGCACTCGCTGTAAGATGGCTGCACACAAGGAGTGTTTGAGCAGACTACCTGCCTGTGGGCGGAGCTCAGGTCTGTCACCCACGACCACTAATGTACAGCACCAGTGGAACCACTGACCCTGACCCTGACCCTGACCCTAACCCTGACCTCTCCATGTTACAGATCATTCTGGAAAAAAGGTCAGTCACAACCATCTGGACTCTTCAGTCCAAAATCACACTTGGACTACAGTTACACTCCTCAGTATATCACCGGGACTATAGTATCGCAGTATACTGTAGTATATGGTAGTATATGGTAGTATACGGCAGTATACGGTAGTATACGGCAGTATACTACCGTATACTGTAGTATATGGTAGTATACGGTAGTATACGGCAGTATACGTCAGTATAGGTCAGTATACGGTAGTATACGGCAGTATACGGTAGTATACGTCAGTATACTGTAGTATATGGTAGTATATGGTAGTATACGTCAGTATAGGTCAGTATACGGTAGTATACGGCAGTATACGTCAGTATACTGTATTATATGGTAGTATACGGTAGTATACGGCAGTATATGTCAGTATACTGTAGTATATGGTAGTATATGGTAGTATACGTCAGTATAGGTCAGTATAAGGTAGTATACGTCAGTATACGTCACTATACGGTAGTATATGTCAGTATACGTCAGAATAGGTCAGTATACGGTAGCATATGGTAGTATACGTCAGCATAGGTCAGTATACGGTAGCATATGGTAGTATACGGCAGGATACGTCAGTATACGGCAGTATATGTCAGTATACGTCAGAATAGGTCAGTATACGGTAGCATATGGTAGTATACGGCAGTATACGGTAGTATATGTCAGTATACGTCAGTATAGGGCAGTATAGGTCAGTATACTGTAGTATACGGCAGTATACGGTAGTATACGTCATTATAAGTCAGTATACGTCACTATACGGTAGTATACGGCATTATACGGTAGTATACGGCAGTATAGGTCAGTATACTGTAGTATATGGTAGTATATGTCAGTATAGGTCAGTATACGCCAGTATACGTCAGTATACGGCAGCATAGGTCAGTATAGGTCAGTATACGTCAGAATACGTCAGTATACGTCAGAATACGTCAGTATACGGCAGTATACCTCAGTATACTGTAGTATATGGTAGTATACGTCAGTATACGGTAGTATAGGTCAGTATACGTCAGAATAGGTCAGTATACGTCACTATACGGTAGTATACGGCATTATACGGTAGTATACGTCATTATAAGTCAGTATACGTCACTATACGGTAGGATACGTCAGTATACTGTAGTATACGGCAGTATATGTCAGCATACTGTAGTATATGGTAGTATATGGTAGTATATGGTAGTATATGGTAGTATACGGCAGTATACCTCAGTATACTGTAGTATACGGCAGTATATGTCAGTATACTGTAGTATACGTCAGTATACTGTAGTATACGTCAGTATACGTCAGAATACGTCAGTATACGTCAGAATAGGTCAGTATACGTCAGTATACTGTATTATATGGTAGTATACGGTAGTATATGTCAGTATACGTCAGCATAGGTCAGTATACGCCAGTATACGTCAGTATCTTGATAAAGAGTGTTCTCTATGAAGCCCCACTGGTGTGAAGTGAAGATCCTGGTCTCAGACAAAGAGGCTTTCCCTCCTCTCCAGCACCACCATCAGGATGATTTCAGCGGAGCAGGGGGGATTCTTGACAGATACTGTCTCAGATATATTGAAATACATCCACACAGCAGACTGTCAGCCTGCGGCATCATCACTTCCTGTTTCGACCCTTTAGTTTCGGTAATAAAAGTATTTCGGACGAAACTGGAAATGCACTTTAGGGCCAGTTTCAGCCAAATGTTCAGTTCATCCCTACTTGATACTCATTTAGGTTTTTTGGTTTTTTTCTAGAATAAATCCCACAGATCTTCCCCAAACCCCAGCACAGGTGAGAAGTGAATATTTTCTACACTTCATCTCAGCTTCTACCACAGACTTAGAGTGAATAAAAAAACGTCACCTGCTCTTCTTCCTCCTCCCAGGAAACCCTAAGATGGAGGTGTGTCAGGACTATTATGGTCTGCCTCCTCCTCCCGTGGGCTTCGGCCAGCCCCTCCATCTGTACAAGGGAAACATCATCGAGCTGACGCGAGCTGATGCTGACCTGCAGTGGTGGGAGGTAACTCAGTTAGTCTTCAATCAGACGTACCGTATGCCCTCTGTGTCATCCCCCCCCCCCAGCAGGGTCATACCCTAACCCTGACCCTGACTGTGGTTTCACTGGGTTTTTCCTTCAGGGAAGAAACCTGAACCTGGGTAACGTTGGATGGTTCCCCTGCCAGAAGGTCCAGCCTTATGTGGTGGTGAGTACTACAGTACTACAGTATACACCCAACCACACACATGTACACACACACTAATTAAGATGCGAGACAGGAAGGTGCTAACCAAAACTAGAACCAACATATGTGTTTGATTTATTGTAAATGCTGGAAACCAACGAGCTGAAGTGAAACTAACACTTTTCCCTCCACTGGACGACCACAGAGACTGACCACAGACTTCTCAGGCTTCAGCTGGTGAGTACAGACCAGATCCCAGTTATGACAGACACAGTTGAACACAGTCTTTTCCTGTCACTGCTCACACACCGACAACCACACTGAACTGCAGTCTTTTCCTGTCACTGCTCACACACGACAACCACACTGAACTGTCACAGAAACGGATCCAGACACTGATAAGAACCGCTGCTCCGCACTTTCGTACTATCCAGACACTGATAAGAACCGCTGCTCGCCATCTTGTCGCCATCTGGTGTTAATGTTTGTTATCGCAAAGTTAAAGTGAAACCGATACGATGTCCTTCACCTGAAACAGAAGAATCCTTTAAAGGTGTTTCATCACAGCATCACAACCTGGTCCTGTGTCTAAAGACTCAAACTGAGTTTCTGTTAAAGGGCTTTTTCAGTTTTTAACAGATTTTCACTCAAATTTGGTTAAAACTGTGACGTTGCTCTGATCCAGACACAGAGAAGTCAAACATTAATCAGCTCAGAAACATAACCATGAAGTTAGTCCAGACTGTGGGACGTATTTTAGTTTGTTATAGTCATCATCAGACACGTGTTAGAATTATAACATGAACTTTGACACTTAGCCTGGTGTGTAGTGGGAGCTCCTGACAGGTGTGTGTAAAGACGGGGCATTTACTGTAAAGTTGTGTTTGTTCAGAAAGACAAAGAAACGTTCCTAACTGTCCCTGTGATCCAAGGTTCGCTGGAAACATGGACAGAACTGCAGCCAAAAACCTGCTCCTGTCTCGGTCCAACGGGACCTTCCTGGTGCGGCAGAAGGATGCTGGGGAGTTTGCCATCAGCATCAAGTGAGGCTTCATAATGAGTGTGGTTGAATGGCTGACGTCCAGGTTCATCTCCACTGACTGACTGACTCTGTCTGTGCTGCTGCAGGTTCAACGTGGACGTCCGACACATCAAGATCACCTCTGCTGACGGCCTCTTCCGCATCAATGATAAAAAAGCCTTCAGGGGTTTAGCTGTGAGTCTGCTCTGTCACAGCAGGGTCAGAATCACGGTCTGATGAGTGGACGTTGAACTTTTTCTCTTCATGACGTGTTTCTCCTCTCATCTTAGGAAATGATTGAATTTTACCAGAAGAATTCTCTGAAGGAGTATTTTAAGGATTTGGACACAACGCTAGAGACGCCGTACACCCAACCTGACCAACTGGACCCGTCTAATAACACACCTACTACTACAGCAGGTGTCCACACACACACACACACACACACACTAGCACAGCTGACAGGTTTCTGCTCATGTTCTCTGAAGTTTGTGTTGTTTTCTGCAGAGACCTGTTGGTTTTTCTGATACAGTAGTTTTCGTCCTAATGAGAAGGTTTTTTCATTTGATTTAGTTATAAAATAACCGTCCCAGTGCAACATGGTCTGTGTCTGACAGGAGACGGCGTGAGGAGCTTCAGCGTGGCCAGAGCCAGGTACGACTTCTCAGCCAGAGATCGTTCAGAACTGTCGCTGCGAGAGGGAGACACCATCAAGATCCTATCAAAGAAAGGCCACAATGGCTGGTGGAAGGGAGAGGTGTACGGCCGGGTGAGGAACTAACACAACAACACACACACACACACAACAGGATGTGTGTTTCACTGAGGGGGGGTCTGACCTACATGACTGCCGTCCCTGCAGGTGGGCTTCTTTCCAGCCAACTACGTGGACGAGGACTACTCCGAATACTGCTGATGTGATGTGGCTCCACTGAAATGAAGAGTCCTACACTGGTGTGTGTGTGTGTGTGTGTTCTATTTGTTCTCCAGTGAGTTTCAGTGATGTGAATAAAAGGCGTTTTTATCCTCCTGATGTCAAGTCTGGTTAAGCTGCAGGAATTGAATTGATCACCAAATGATTTGGATGTTTTTACCTTTGGTTCCAGTCATTTATTGAACATTTAAACCAGTAGAAATATCAACAGTTAATATCAATCTCACTGACCTTTATTTACAAGCACGACATACACAGCACTGATGACTCAACTCAAACATCAGCTCTACTTCCAAAATATCAAAAAACAAAGTACTTGCAGAACAACATGTCTAACTGTGGGTACAAAATGAAACCTTTCTACAGATGTTCTCTGTCAGATCAGGTGGTCTCCTGTGACCACTCCTCTCTGTTCATCCATGATGATGTGTGACTTCAACGCCCTCCTGGTGTCAGCGCTGACTTACTGGTAGTAAAGTTCCAGGTTCATACCATCGTGGATTTCATCTGTAGATCCTGGTTAAGAAACACATTGAAGATTGTGCAGCTTTGAGTCACGGTGCAGTTTTCACTCTGTTTAAATGAACTGTCAGCTACGGTGACGAGACGATGTCGGTCCTAGACCTCCATCAGTCAGTGTGTTGTAAAAACACACACAAGACCGAAACACTGAAGGATACAGTCGCCCAGAGACACGTGATCCTTGAATATGGTATACCTGCAGGAAACAGGAAACAGGAAGTCGGTCATTGAAGACGTTTCTCATTGCTTCGCCCGGGGGTAAAACCCTGAGAGTGAACTTACCACTTCTTTAAAACGATCTTGTCGTGCTTCGTCCCAGTCTGGGCGGCTATGAGCTTCTTCAGGTCCCCGATAGTGTCCTCGGAGCTGAAGAAGAGCCCGTTCAGGAAAACACTCACTTTGGTGACGATTCATTCATTTACAAACCACAAAGACACAAGTCGATTTTCATGGTCAATTTGACACAAACCTGTTATGGAAGATAAACCTCATTTTACTCAGCACTTTTTACGGTAAAGGATACTTGCACTTGACTCGGACTTTTTTGCCCAAACGATCGTTGCAGACCACCTCGATCATCTTCACTGTTCTCCGCTGGTCCACTGGCCGACAGGACATAAATAAAGTCAGTCCTGATACTAGTTTATCGATACATTTAAAAATGATGACATTTGGAACAAAAACGCCTGTGAAATATATTTTGGGGCAATGAGACTAACAATGATGGTAAAAATTTCAATTACTGAAGAGAACCGACTGTACAATTGTAAAGGAGTTATCGTTAAAACAAAAACCTACAACTTTTATTATTGATCGTACGTCAGCCAAAACTCAGATCGGTTGTTCTGCGCACGTTAGCTAACGTGGTGTGTAACACATACGAATGTAACGTTGTTAAACGCGACAAGTAAATAATTTTCCTCTACGTGATCAATTGTATGTTTATGGATGATTTACTAGATTATTTAATCATAATCCTCTTACCTTAAAAAGCACAAATCAGTAAATATTCTGTCGTCGATGTGTTTTTCTACAACTCTCAGGAACCGACTTTACCGTAAAGCTTTGCGCTCCAGCCTCTCCACCTATCAGGCGGAAATACTGCGACTGACTGCTCACAAGAGCCAATGGTTGTAGTGAACAACTAAAGGGGGCGGGGCTTTAGCTGAAAACAACTCGTGTCGTAAACAAGACGCTGTACGTCGCAACTTTACTGAGCTGCATCCGGCCCTGCCTCACTGTGGCCACATTAATATACGGTTTTTAGAGACAGCAGCCACTGAAAAATAAAAAGTAAATATAATGGCAGATGAGGAGAACCTGCCCTCGGGATGGGAGAAGAGAATGAGCCGCAGTACAGGTAATGGAAGTCAAACCAACGGAGGCCGGATCTTCCGCTCCAAATGCGCTGTGCAATGGATGTAGCTTAGATGTTAGCACGGCAGGCAACGAGGCGGACACACACCCGGGGCAGACACCCGGGGCAGAGACCCGGGGCAGACACCCGCGGTTAGCCTGCAGCTGCACGTGTGTTACGTCTGTGGTACTAGATGCACATGTCGGTGGTTATTACAGCCTGTGTTGAGAACTGCTGAGTGCAGTCTTCATGACGTCATTCTGCCCCAGTTTCACATTCGCTGTGTCACACCTGAGGGTGGATTTCAGCCCTCAAACACCAATGATTTATATTTTTTAAATAATTCAGCGATTGTATTATTATACAGGAGGGTTTTTGTTGTTAGTTAATGTTAGCGATCGAACCAGGTCTAGTTAGAACCTTATTCCTACCTTCTCTGCATGCCGTGAAAAAACCAAATCAACATAACCCTCGGAGATCAACCAAGATAACAGTGTTCCAAATGTTCGGGTGAATGTGCTGCAGATGAGAAACGAGAAATGTTCTGTTCCACTCTGGAGAAGTGGGTCATTGTGTAACGAGCTGTCACCTGGTGTGTTCAATGTCAGGCAAAGTTTACTACTTCAACCACATCACAAACGCCAGTCAGTGGGAACGTCCAGTGGGAGACGGCCGTGGAGAACCAGACAAGGTAGACTGTCTTCATCAACCTGAGTCTGAGACAAAAACACTCTTCAGTTTCTAACATGTTGTTGAACTAAAGTTTGACTACGACGTCTGTGGAACAGAAACACTTCATGACTGTGAAGGTTCTGTCTCTACCAGACATGATGATAAAATGACTCTGTATTCTCTCTCTCACACACACACACACACCTAGGTCCGCTGCTCCCACCTCCTGGTGAAGCACAATCAGTCACGCCGTCCATCTTCCTGGCGGGAACAAAACATCACACGGACAAAAGAC